GACCAAGCTGTCACTGCTGCAAGATCTCAGCCCTGGCTCCGGAGCGGCTCCCTGCCCTGCTGCGCACCTTGCCAGTGCTGCTGGGGCTAGTCTCTATGGGAACCTTGGCTCCATGCTGTCACGCTCGATTCTTTTTATATTCAAATCCTTTTTGTTCCTTCTATCTTTTTTTAGAGGGGGAAACTAGAACGGAGTCAAGTACTCCTGGCCAAGGTACATCATTATTTTACAGAATGTTTCCATTATTTTTTACTATTACTGTACACTGAGCATACTGCTTTCCTGAGCTGTCCACAGTGACAATACATAGGTCTTTTCCTGAATTGTTTTAACTACTTTGGAACACAAGGCATACAAGTAATTCAAATTATTCCCTTCTGTGTACATGACAATATTTGTAAGTGCTCAGTCTCACCTGCCATTGTACTGTTTCATCTGCCCATTCACCTTGAATGGCTCTTGATGCTCCAATTTTCTTCAGTGTTGATTAAGCCAAGTAACTGTGGTATCTATAATTTTTGCCACTTCATGGTTCACATCCTTTCCTACAGCATTAACAAATATATTAGACATTAGCCCTAGTTTGTGACCTGGAGGCACTTTGCTGTTACATCTTTAGCCCCATCTTCTGTCTCCACTGCTTTCTGATCCCTTTGCTATTCTCATTCCACACCTATTTAGTTTCCTTAATAACCCCTTGGGAGGCACTCATTGCACTCACTGTGAAGCACTCACTTAAGAGAACAGTGGTAGGTGTCAATCCCTGTTCACTTGGACATCTCCAGGAGTCAAAACAAAATAATACCCCAGAGGGCTATACCTCATTCAGAGTAGCTCCTCAACACCTCAAGCAAAAGGCCATCCCTAAGACAACCCCCTAAATTAGTAATGCATTGCCTCATCTTAAATCTTCTGCTCACCTTCATACCCATGGGAAACATACCATGGCCAGTCAGTCTCACCTCCATCCTTGGAAAGGCCTTTGAAAAGATTATGAAGGATCATATTTGTGGGAGTCCAGCAGGAAAAATAATGCTGCAGGGAAACCAGCATGGATTCGTAGCAGGTAGATCATGCCTGATCAATCTGGTTTCGTTTTATGACAGGGTCACAAAATGCTTAGATGCAGGAGTAGAGGTAGATGTTGTTTTTTTGGACTTTAGCAAGGCCTTCAATATGGTATCTCATCCTATTTGCATAAATAAATTAAGAAGCTGTGACACAGCCATTTACATGGTCCGGTGGGTGGCAAATTGGCTTAGCGGCTGCACCCAGAGAGTGGTAGTAGATGGGTCGGTATCGACCTGGAAGGAGGTGGGTAGTGGGGTCCTGCAGGGTTCAGTCCTTGGACCTGTACTCTTCAATTTCTTCATCAGTGACTTGGATGTGAAGTGTACTCTGTCCAAGTTTGCGGACGATACTAAATTGTGGGGTGAAGTGCACATTCTGGAGGGTAGGGAACGATTGCAGGCAGACCTGGACAGGTTAGAAAAGTGGGCAGTACACAATAGGATGCAGTACAAGGACAAGTGCAGAGTGCTGCACCTAGGGTGCAAAAATATCCAGCACACCTACTGGCTGGGAAGTGACCCTCTTAGCAGTACAGAAGTGGAAAGGGATCTCGGAGTCATAGTAGACTCCAAGATGAACATGGGTTGTCAGTGTGATGAAATCATCCGCAAAGCTAACTGCAAGCAATCAGGCAGCAGCAGATGAATGACAAATAGAACCAAGGAGGTGATACTTCCCCTCTATGCAGCATTGGTCAGACCGCAGTTGGAGTACTGTGTCCAGTTTTGGGTGCCGCACTTCAAGAAGGATGTTGATAGACTCGAGAGGGTCCAGAGGAGGGCCACATGTATGGTTAGGGGCTTACAGGACAAGCCCTATGAAGAGAGAGGGACCTGGACCTCTTCAGCCTCTGCAAGAGAAGGCTGAGAGGTGATCTTGTGGCCACCTACAAATTCATTAGGGAGATGCAGCAAGGGATCAGAGATATCTGTTCACCAGGGTGCCTCTTGTGGTAACAAGGAACAATGGTCACAAACTGCCAGACAGCAGATTTAGGCTAGGTATCAGGAAAAACTTCTTCATGGTAAGGGGGGGTTGGACTCGATGATCTGTTGAGGTTCCTTCCGACCCTAGCATCTATGAATCTAAGGCAGGCAGTGACATCTTCAAGCATGCTGCATGGCTTTGGGTGGGCCATCTCCTAAATCAGAAGCAAAGTAGCTGCACCCACATATATGCTAATGAGTACTGCTCAGTGACAGAAACCAATTAGACTGCCTATAGCACCTATTAGTACCATGGCACCACAGAAAGGTGGATACAATGCAGTCTTCACAGAGCACTGCTCTGAGGGATGCCCCACTGGGTATAGTAAGTTGACCACATAACCATGTTTCATAGGTAAGTAAGTATTCCTAAAGAGAAGCTTCAAAGCACAGCAGTGATGCAACAACAAGTAACTAAGAGTTGAGAGTGATGATAGATCTCATTGAGTAATATGGTACAGAAAATTTCCCTTGCGGTGTCATTACTCTGTTCCGTGTGCTCATTATGGTCTGTACAGTATTCTGTATACCTATTGTCTAGTCTCTCCCAGTGCCTCTGGCTCATCACACTATGGAATAATGGCAGGCACACCACATCCACTGATGACTTATCTAGTACAGTTCATTTAATCTATCACTGGGGAAAAATAAATCTCATACTATTTAGACTGCAAATTCTTAAAGGCAGGGACAATGACTATATTCTGAGTAGTGCATAGATCAATATACCATCTATGAATTACCCTAATACAAAGTTTTCTTTAAAAAATCTCAAATATAGAGATTATGAAAGAATAACAAAATCAAATTGAGTTACTCCAGCCAAAAGAGACACTAGTTTGCAGTCGTTTCAGTATCAAGCCTATCCGGGCAAATTACTATAGCAACAAATTTGTGGCCACAGTTGTCATAACACAAATAACTTGATGGTGGTTAGAAACATGGAAACATTACAAGAAGTTTCAACAGCTGTGAAAGGTCAAATTAAAAAACACAAAAAACCTCCATAGCTGACAGCCCCTGCCATCAATTCAATACACATTCAACATTGGAATAAGCTCTTTCAAACTTTCCACGTTTTTTGTTTTTGGTTTTTTTTAGAATTTTTATTCTTTCATTTAGACCACATGAGGAACCGAGTTCTGTTTCGCTGTAAACATGCCAACACATATGTCTTGCACAAATGGTAATAACACCTATTTATTTTTCAAGACAGAGGGAAATAAAATCTTCTGTATTTTTTTCTCCCTGCCTGAACTGCAAAGGAAAATCTAGAATTCAGTTTTTCATACTGGAAGAGCAAATATACTCCACTGCTAATAGCAATAAATACTATGGTCTGCTGCTCAACCCCTGTTGTGACTACAGCCCTTGTTAAAAGGCTCACAGATCTGCTGTTTTTATAGCATTTTTCTTCTTCCTTGTAAATGGGAAGGGTTTTTCTATATACCAATCCTGACACTGCTCTCCCCCAAGAAAAACACTGTTAAGAAGTATTTGTATAAGGATTTTTTTTAAACTTTTACAAAGGAGAAAGCAGGACTGTGCTATGAGTTCCAAATTTCAGTTTAAAAGGCCTCATTAGCCATGCTTATACAGGCCTGTGAAAAGGGTATTTAAACTTAACAGCACTGTATATGTCAAGTGGACACTGGAATTAAAGTGGTTTTAATTTTCAGCTGCAGGGCCTATGTTTAAATGCCTAAATGGCTGACCTGGGGTATTTTATGAAAGTCTCATAGACTCTTTTATAGACGTGCAATGATACATTGGTCCAATATTGGGTCAGCACCAATATAAAGAAAATGGATCATATTGGGAATCAGCCTGATGTGGCTGAAAAGTTGGCCGATAAATGCCCGTGCATGTGTGCAGCCGCAGTGCAGCACATAGGCACTGAGGAGCACAGCCCAGCAGCTTGGGGAGCTGTGTGCAGCTGGTAAGCCTGATGGAGGGCTGCACCACATTGCTGTCAGCCCGCTGAAGCAGGAGGAGTCCAGCAGCTGATGACTGTACTCCAGCATCCAATGATTCCCAGAACCCATCTCCAGCTGCCAGTGCCAGGGGACCTAGAGAATGGGCAGCTGGGGATTGGGGATGTCATCAGACCATCCTATGCCAGCTGGTAAGCTTAAAGCTCCATTAGGCAGCTGGAATCAGTCTGGGTGATGGTGCCTTACCACGCCACAAATTCAATTTTGGTGCAATGGAAACCAGCTACGGAAACATGGAACAATTTGTGGCAGGTTTCTCGGGGGGAGGAAGGGGGGGTTTGCACCATTTATTGACTGAATAGGTAGCAGAATTACTATTTATGGTGCAACTAACATGTTAATTGTGACAGATGCGTAATGTCCGTCGTCAGGGCCCTGATGTCTCACTTTTTCTGAGCAGCAAACTATAGCAAATGTTTTAGTAAGGAATAATTTTAATTTATATTAGTACACAGATGTGATCTTCCACTAGAGAACAGAGTTTGTGGCTCATGATTATGTTACAGGTTACGAAACATACAGGGGAGCAATTGCTCACTACAGTAGGTTGGCTCTTGGATTACATTAATCAATACAGATAACTAATTGACTTTTATTGTTTAAGATATATTCCTGAGATCGACACAAATACAAATCAAGTTTCCAACATTTTTGACTGGGCCTATTTCTAATGCAGTTTCAGATTTTATACTGTAGTTTCTGGTTCCCCCTCCCAATCATCTCTGTTCTTTTGCCCTTTCTTTCTAACATTGCTTCCTTTTGTACCATCCTTACTGAGCTGACGAGGGCAGTCAAATGGTTTCTTTCACTGATCAAACAGGAAACCAATGCCTGTGAGTTTCTTAATTTTCATATGAAAAATTACTTATGAGTTTTGCCATAATAGTTTGATCCAGCAAAGATTTTTCCCTTTTTCCTCCATTGTGAAATAGATTTAAACTTACATAACTGATGTCTTAAACAGGCTTTATTTTGAAACATTCCATTAGCCACTCACAGGCTACCAGTCTAAAACAATAAGTTTTCCCATTATTCTTGCACTAGGAAGTTGACTAGGGCTGTTCTTGGAGACAGGAAGGCTTTTTTGATGGTGCGTCCTTTGAGCAATTTGGCTCCCAGCTCACTTTGAAGAACTAGTTCATGGACTTCTTCAGCATTTTGAGCTGCTTGGTGAGGGATATTAATTTTGCCACAAACTTTGTTATTGATCTGGAAAAGAGACATGAAAGCAAGGAAGGACTCAGGTTACCACACTGATCTACAATGACTTCATTTCTTGACTCCAGTCCCCCCACATACATTTGCATGATAAACTCATCTCATACCTCCTCTCTCTCTCTCTCTTTTCTGAGCCAGAGATTTTTTAATACAAAAGAAAAGTAACTTCTCAGATCCCTGACACAATGGAACCAGGTACAAAATAGATACTCAAGGAAACCTGAAAGAATGGCAATATGTTTTTGTCTTTCTTTTTTGTGGTGGGGTGGGGAGACGAAGATTTCTAGTGTCAGATGAATAGAAATTCAAGAGCAAGATAATTTCACACAGACTGAATAGGAGAGAGCAAATCTCACAGTGTTGGCATGTTGGAATTCTAGACTACCATCTGCTTTTAGAATTTTGCTTTGTCTTTTTTGAGACCTGAATGATATACCACATAGATTAAAACCACAGCATTTTTTAAAACTTATTTGTGTCGGAAGAGATGCATCCAAGAGGGATTCACCATAAATCGTTTGTATGAAAATAGACATTTGTTCATATATGCTGCATTCTTGCCAAAATAATAATCCCCAAAGCTAACAACCCAAGACAAATACTTTTAATTCTTTACAAAGCAGCTTTCAAACTGGTTCTCTATCAGCAGGGCAGAATCCCACAATAAAACACAGTATTGCCCGCACTGGAGAAACTTTTAAAATATACAATGACTTCCTGAATACTTCTTTCACTATAGGCATTTTAACCTATATATGCAGATAAAAAATGGCAGAGTGGACAATCCCACTCAACACATCTTCCCAATTTAAGACCAAGAGAAATCATGTGTCATCTTCCAAAAAGCTTTCTGATTTTTACATAATATTTTCTTCCAGTTAAAGAAATGGGCCCCAATCTAAAATGCCATAAAAGGCATTGTGTTTGTTTTATTCTATACCGTTTCCTTCTGCTTGTGAAACTTAAGTGATGCCAAGCTTTGCCTTTTGGATAATTTTATAATGATGCTTTACTATCAACCAGTGACACTTTAACATGCAGCTTAGACAGGAATCCTGAAACCTAGTTTGCTGCTACACTTTGTCAAAGACAGAATGCATATAGACCAGCTACTGCAAATCAGAGGTATGTTCCTAGTTTTGTTTTGTCTCAGGAAATAATTTATTTAGTTCTCAGAGACAAGGCTAGACAGTCTTTCTGTAAGGAGCCCTCTGACGTTTTATGCAGGACTGAGCTTAGTCATTTGTGGTTTTTAATTAGACCTGACATTAAATTTGCAGTAAAGCTGTTGGCATGTTATAACAATTCTTCTACACATTCACAGAACTCTTTTTCAGATTTTTCAGTCACAAAAATCCATCTGTATGCACTTCAAACTAGCTCCTTTATGTGAAACAAACCCTTAGGACTAGATCCTACTCCTAGCTGTTATTAGGCTACAAAAGTGGATTCCTTTTCCATCCTGCCCAAGTTTCTAGAAAACTGGTCCTATAAAAAGAGGCATGGATCCTCTTACTCCAAGGTGCCTTGTTCTGACTTAGTTTCAAGACTAAGATGACAGTATCTTGCAACTGCAGATGCAAGAGAAGATTTTCAGGGACTAGGACATGGTGCAACAGGATCTCCTCACAGGTGAACAGGATTCAATTCTTCATTTTTAAGCACCCAGATCACTCATGAAAAAATACTGAAAAGCTGATCATCCCATAATTCTTCTTCTGCAGGGGTGAAACACTCTAGAGGAAATCTATAAAATCAAGGCTATTAAGTTGCTGAAACTCTGGATTGCTAATAGGATACCTAGGTTTTTACCCCTAGATCAAATTTATTGTAGGTTGGAAGTGACAGATGATATGGAAACATTTAATATTCATTGGGATACATGAAATGAGTCAGTAAATCTCCGTGTACTTCCTATTAGCCAGGCAGGTGTACCCCATGACCTGCGTATCGGGATATGAAAGGCTTATGCATTAACTCTGCTCTTATAATGCCACCTCCAGCTTGAAGAAACATGCTATTCATATAAAAATAAATAAATAAAACATTATTAATAGTAGCAGACATGGATGTTGATAAGAATGATGAAGCAACTTTCTTAATCAGTGTACCTCCCCTCTAACTTCATCTGCAAGTGCCAGAACCAGAAAGTCAGGTTGCAAATGTTTGGGCTTTGTCCCAATTGCTTCCTCTGTCAGTGAAAAAAACCTATTATGACAAGAAGAACCAGCTCTTGTGTCCTTTTTGCTTTTCTTCTTATACATACTAAAGAAGCTGTCAGGTTCCTTTCTGCTTCTTTTTTATATGAGAAATTTTGGACTTGTGTACACTGGAATGGTCTTTTGGGACTAGTAAAATGATATCAGTACTAGTACTATGTACTAGCAGTACTAGTAAAATGATATCAGAAAAGCTCAAAGCTGAGTAACTGGGATTGTGAGGTCTTTTTAGTCAGACATTCAGACATAATATTATAATACCTATGTAATTCGAGAGTCTCATAAATAGTCTGGATAAACAAGCAGGCAAAGGCTTCTGAAATCTCTGCATATTTTCAGACCTTCCACACAAATCATAAAATAGGAAAAAAGGTCACAAGCCCAGCTTTAAAAATATTGTATCCAGGAGAAAACTAGAAATCTCAACAATTTTGAACACACCCACTCTACTCATGTACAGGACCTCGAGCTTCTAAAAATATTGTTCTGCACATTATACTGGGTGATGACAGGTATTTTTTAGGTCCAAATGAAATGTGGCGATATACCTTAGATAGCAGAAATGCACGTGTCCTAGAGTATATCTATGCTTTCCCCTGAAAACAAAACACCTTTCAGAGTTCTTTTGTTTCACGCGCTGCCCCAAGGGGCAAGCCAGCCTGTTCCCAGGTGGTGGGAAGGCAGTGGGGACAGTGTACGGGGCGCTGTTCCCAGGGCAGGCTTGGGGAAGAGTTGGATCTAGAAGGTGCTGCCTCCAAGCTGAGGCAAGCATCCAGTCTGCTAGCAGCCTCCCCCGGTGGCCCTAGGGGGCATCACC